AAAACATTTCTTTCTATACATGATAAATGTGGGTGGGACCATGCTCTAGAATTATATAACACAAGTCAATAAAATTTTCTTATTTTCCAAAGAAAGATGAACAGGGAAAAACTGTGTAAGGCTTTAAAGCTAAATAGCATTATGCAAATAATTATGAAACTGGAAATTTTCTTTAGCTTACATTCACATTCTTAAAAAATATGTGGAGTAAACCCAAAACATTCCATTAGCTTAATGATAAAAGGATTTATTTCAGTGAATCTAATGAGTGATTTTGCACTCTGTAGATGAAAGTTCTTAACTGATTGTTTTACTTTGCAATACGTGATTTAAAAAGAAAAATGTTCACCTTGGAATTTATCTGCACACATTTGTATTTTGTCAGTAATGTCTTTCTGTTTGGTTTGTAACATCCTCCCTGTTGATAAAGGAGGCTCACAAACAAGCTTTGAATGTGTAATCAGCCAAATAAACAAGACAGAAATGAAATCTGCTCTGAAGTCTATCAATCTTGTCTGTTGAGGTTGAAGATTTCTCTGATCTTTGACTGGAATGGAACATTAGAGGTGAGAGAGTTGTGTGCACTTATTTTAATCTCCCTGTAATTAGATGTGCAGTGAAAGGAAAATTGTTTTTTTCCTACAGTTTGAGCATACTTTATGTCGCTTTCACATTTAAGGAAGAAGAAAAACTCACAAATTATACTTGTGTACAGGTGATTTCCTGGACAGCATTATCTATTTGGCTGTTTGTTCTGCACAAAAATGGTCCGTTCAGAATGTAAACTGGAAGCCGGAAATAAAGAACACTCACCATGCTGGGTTCACGCCCACCATCATCACCATCCTGAGAGCAATCCTCCTGTGCAAGTTCCATTTTTCTATGGAGGTTGCTAAGCAGATGACTCCAATCAACAGCAGGTGAAAATCTTTGAAATAAGTGGATGCCACCTGAATTCACAATTAAACCCATAATTATTCATGTTGGTAGGGGAAAGAAAGGCACAAGAAAGGCATTGTTAGGCTGTCCTCTTACCTTCAGCTACATTATCTTTCTGCTTTTTTTTCCATAATTTTATTGAGAAACAAATAGCAATGAGACAGTTTCAAATCAAATTGGTAGGACAGTTTCAATAATTCACACATTGCATACATTCCTCGTAGTGGTTAATTGCTGTACAAGAGGCGGACATGATATCCTATTTACAAACACCATTAGAGCAAATTGCTGTATTCATTAAGAGAATGTAACTATATATTTATCCTAACCACTTTGAATACACAGATACGAAATGGACATTCTTCTGTATCCCCTTTAGTAGCTATTGTATTACACAGTGTTGCCTTCAACTTAGTTGTTTAGATTACCAGATATATGCATGCAAAATTGGAAAAAGAAATAAAATTTATAAGAAATTAAGAAGAAGTGCTAGCCAGATAGCCCAGAGGATTAAAGTGCCTGCTTAGGCAGAGCTCAAGGACTGGAGTTCTATCCCTGGCGTGCTGGGCCGGCCCCGCCCCTGGCGCGCGCTGACATGGTGATTGAGTCTGGGCTTGGTAGTTCGCATCTGTAATCCCAGCACTTGGGAGGCTAAAGACAGGAGAATCACTACAACTCTGATCTGTGTAGTGAGACCCTGTAGACCCTGTCCTAATTACCAAAAAAAAAAAAAAAAATCAGAAGACAGGAAAAGAAATTAAGCATTGACTGCTCCTGGTAGGCCAGCAGAGATCCACAGTACCGTTACCTAAGCCATTCTGTGTGCATACATAGATATTTCTCTTTTCCCCACCATTTCTTGTCTTCCTCATCTCTTTAAGTCCTTCCTTTTGAACCAGTTCTTTCTCTTTTCATGGTATCTATTGTAGCTTTTATATGTTATTTATTGTTTCAGGTTCTTACAATAGCGAGATAATATAATGTTTGCACATGTGAGTCTGATTTACTTCACTTAAGACTGTGGTCCTCTGGTTGCATCCATTTACCAATAAAAGCTTCAGATTTATCCTTTTTTATAGCTGAGCAGTAATCTTTCTGCTTTCTCGAAAGACATGTAGATATGCTAAGTACAAATGAAAATAGTGTTCTATATTCTCAGCCAGAAATAATACTTTTAACAAAACATATAGAGGGAAAAAGAAGAGTGCTGATAGTACTGTATTTGAATAACTTTAGAAAAGTGCTCCTATGGCTTAATTTCTCCATGCATCAAACAAGATTTATTTTTAATGGCCTGTGGCAGAGTGGCAATGACAGATTTGAATCAAGTCCTGATCAAGTAGGCAGGATGTGTCTCATTTATCCTTATATTTATGGATTTAACACCTGTCCAGCACATATATGCATTCAGTAGATTTTTAAGTAACAGATCATGAGTCAAGAAGTTTCTGTTACTAGACAAGGAAAACTGAGTTAACAGAAAGGTCAGTAAAGTATATAGGGCAAAGGAGAGAAATCTCCCATACAGAGGGAGGGGAGTAAGTGACCACATTTTCCTACGTAATTGGGAGGTCTTTTTACGAGATACGATACTCAAGCTGACTTTTGAAAAGTAAATCGATATCTGAACTTTTCTCTTCCTTTATGTCTTTTAGAATTTTGATCATGGGAATACAACTGACTCACTGCTATGGTCTGAATGTTGGTGCTCCTTTACCATAAAAGTTATTCTTCGAAATCTAACTTGAACCTATTATCATCTCCACTCTCTTAAAAAGAAATTTGAGAGCGCTCCCTTGTTTCTTTGACCACATCAAGATACAACAACAAAGTAATGTCTATGGCTTATAAAGTGAGCCCTTAAAGACATGAAACCTATGGGCACCTTGTTGCTGAATTTCTCCGAGCTAAGAGCATTAAATTTCTGTTGTTTATGAATTACCCATTTAAATACATTCATTTTAATAGTCTGAGTTGACTAATTCACTGACCTCATTTTACGAACACTATGAAGATTAAATGAGACCAAATATAGAATTACTTCTAAAATGCACACAAAGACTCAGAAGAAGCTATTATTATAGCCCACATTTACAACAGTTTCACTTTCTATGGTTTTAGCCATCCAATCAAATGTGGTCAAAACACATTAAGTGGAAAATATAAATAATTTAAATGTTTCATGCCATTCTAGCTGTTATGATAAAACCTCATGCCCAGGATGTGCATTGCCCCTTTGCCCAGTGTATCCACAGTGTATACACCACCCACACGCTAGTCACTTATATAGTATCCTTCTCAGTTACCATATCAGCCACTATAGTGCCACAGAACTTATGTTCAAGTAATCCTTAGTTTACTTAAAAGTGGCCTCAAAGCACAAGAATACTAATTCAGAGGAGGTACCATGGAAAATCACTGAAGGACAGCTGAACTGTGGAAATATATAGTAATGTACAGGACAACTAGGAAAGAAACAAGGTTCATATAGGACTCAGTACTGTCTACATTTTCAGGCATGGACTGGAGTGTTTTGCTGGTATGAGGATTCTACTTATTAGTAAGTGATCTAAACACAGGAATAAATTCAAGGTCCTGAGGAGTTCCTACTGTGATCTGTTTAGGTTATATGACGAAGTATCAGACTCGTGTAAAGACTACAGGAAGTATTCTACACTTTCTGGGCCATATGGTTTCTCTCACACTCCATGCTGAGAGAAACCTAGGAGACTAGTGGAGCACACCTGGGAGTATGTCTGATTGGGCTGGGGGGACTTGGAGAATTTCATCACATTCCAAGCCTCCTTCTCTCTGCCTCTTTACCTGTCTCTTCTAGGCTGCCATTAAGTGAGCTTTGTTTCACAATGACCTTCTGCTGTGACATTTTTTACCTAGAGCCCAGCTGATTGTGGACTGAAATCTCAGAAACAGCACCAAAATGAACCTTTTCTTTTGTGTGTTAGGTATGGAGATACTTTGTCCCAGCATGGAAATAAGATGAGTGGAGGATGGGTTGCCTAGGAGGGTAATGGAAGAAGGTGGTGCTGTTGGTTATAAATGACACAGATAAATACAACTATTTTTTTAAACGAGTTGATACATTAAATTAAATCTATAATGAGACTTAAAATCTACCTGTAAGATCAAAGTAATTATATTTCTCTCTCCAAGTGTGATTTCATAAGAAATACATGAACTTTTGCAATCAGAGCCCTGGAGTTAGTTATATAATCCACCAATTGAGCAACCTTTGTGCAAATCAATAAGCAGCTGTAAAACTTGCATATACCTCACATCAAGCTTGTGAATTAAATGAGATAAGGTTTCTGCAAATGTAAGCTGTTAGTTATAGTGTACATGATTATAATAGCACTTTTACAGGTTTATGTAAGTTGTTGTGTTAAATCTAATTATCAAGTTTCTAGTTTTTATATTAACTGACTCATCAGCAAGTTTGACAAGCAAAATCTTGTTTCACCCATAAAACATTTTCTTCACATGGATGTCAGGGCCCTAAGCATTTCTGGTCTTCTTCCTGCCTTATTAACCATCTTTTCTTAATATCCTTGGCTGGTACTTTCTCTTCTCACTAACTTATTAATGTTGTAGTTATCCGCAGCTCTGTTCTTTGTACTCTATCTTCACTCATTCCTCAAGCATTTTCCAGTTATAAAGCTTTAAATACCATCAATATGCTGAGGACTGTAAGATCTGACATTTCCAGATGAGCCATCCTTCATGAACTCTGAACTGTTGATCAGATAGATCCATCTGCCTATTCAGCATCTTCACTTGTGCAGTAGTTATTTAAAATTTGTCCAGCACTGAACTGCAGGTGTTAGCACTCTTCTTACAAGAGATATGCCGTGCCCATATTTTTTGGATGTTCAATTTATTTTATTATTATTATTGTTATTAAATAAAGCAATTTCCTAATGAGAAAAAGAAGTTAGGTGCCTCAAACTAATGTCAATAATTTGGACAAAAATGAGCAGAATAATATTCAAAGTTACAGGAAATATTGATGACTTTAGGTATCACTGACATAGGTTAATATAGTTTTCTAATTTTGCTGTCTTTAGTAAATTTTCCAACATAGTACAGGCAAGATTTTTTAAAAGAGTACAAATTAGAATTAAAACAGAGAAAATTACAAATGATACAGATTTTCACTTAATCAAATAATATGAATTTCACAGTATCTGTTGTAATACATAGTGCTGTCTTCCGACCAGTTATTCATATCACCAGATATATGCATGTAAAGTAGGAAGAAGAAAGAAAAATGGAAGAAATTAGGAAGACAAAAAGGAGAAACAATTAAAAAAAAGGAGACCAAAAAAATTAAAGCATTAAATGTTTCTTTCCCTAGACCAGCAGAAAATGCATAGTACAGTTGTCCAAACCATTCTGCTTATGTACATAGAAAAATCCCTTGCTCCCACTACCTCTCCTGTCCTCCTCAACTCAATAACTCTTTCTTTTTGAATTAATTGATGACAATTCTTCTTTTTATAGTCTGAAGATCAAAGAACTAGATATCCTCAAATATCTTCTCAGTCATATGCCACATTCAATCAATCAGGAAAGCTCATTGGTTTTACTTCCAAAATTGATCAACATCACATTCAGTATCTTTATTACTGTTCTGGTCTGGATTCTCCCTGTCTCTTACTTGGGTTGCGGTAACCTGCTGTCACCTTTCTACTTAGTTTTTCAATATAGTGGCACATATTCTTTTACAGTTATTCTTTTACAGTAAAAGTCAGATCAATTGTATCCTTCTGCTACTCAAGTTCCCCAAGGGTTCTACTTGAGTTTTACAAGAGCCTGCTGCGGTCCTACATAGTCTCATCTGTCCTCACATTACTTTTATAGCATCACCTTGTATCACTTTTGATTTATTGCCCTGCTCTGGCCACTCTGAAGCCCTGGACATGCCATAAGCCCTTTGTACTGGGTGTTCACCTTACTGTAATTGTCACTTTCAAGACATGCAAATGGGTAACTCCCTCCTTTCTAGGAAATCTTTGTTCAGGTATCACTATGTCAGTGCCATCAAACCTGACAAACCATTACCCTCTCTTGCCCCCATTAACCTATTTCATAGCAAAGCACCAATCACCTCTTTGTAACTTTCTGTTTAATTCATCTATTTATCAGATGCATTGTGTACTGTGTCTGTCTCTTTAGAAGATTGGGTACCTTTGTCTCTTTTAAATTCACTGATATTTTCCCAAGTGTCCATCAAGTCTTATCACATATTCAGTGAATGACCAAACAGGCATATATTGTAACATATATATGTGTACATTTTCACACATATATAACTTATAAGTAAAATTTTAATAAGAATATTTATCATAGATATTTTAATAATATATGATATTGATTAATAATATTGATATTTGGCTTTAAAATATCAAATTAGGCAGTCTAAATACTTAGCATATCAAGTTTAATTCAACATATATGGGAAAATTTCAAATGTTGATATTCCCCAAGCACAGAAATGTGTTCAGCAATATAAAAGCTTGTTGCATTGGGTTAATAAATAGATAAAGCAAAATGAGAACTATTGGAGCCAAAAACAGAGGTTCTTAGGTCTATGAATTTAGATGAGGATATTTATAAAGCATTGTAACATCATAGCATCATAATATTTTAGTATTGTTATATTGTAATATTGTAGTGTTGAATGACACACTTGATATTCCAGATGCTGCAGGAAGGTTAGAAAGATGGGTTAATACTCTTGAAACTATGAATATTAAAATGTGTAAGAATGCTACACCAGGGCTGGTGAGATGGCTCAGTGGTTCTAAATCACCTACTTAGAACAAGCTTAGCAAAGCACAGGGACCGCAGTTCAATCCCCCAGCACCACATGCCAGCCAGCCCTGGTGGGTTGAGATGGTCACACACACACACACACACACACACACACAAATAAATAATTAAAAAAAAAGAATGCTACACCATTGTTTATATCAGTGTTTTACATTATATTACTTAATCTTTGTTACAAAAGCCTTGAGTTTGGTGGCTTTATCAAGTTCTACTTGTCAAATGATAAAATTGTTATTAAGTGATGTGATAAGGATTATGTAAGTGATAAATACGCAATTAAGGTTTCTTACTAAACATTTAGCCCTTTTCAAAATACAGTGTAGTTTTGGTAAGCTATTCATAAATTTTAAAGGCTAGTTGCCCTCTCCAGGAAAAGGATGAAAAGACTAAAGCAAAGTTTTGTCTACTAAAAGTCCTAGCTTAAGCATTTTGAATTCATGTAAATTTTACTTAAGAGCCTTATGTACAGAAATTCACATAAGATATAAAACAAATTTAGACTAACATACCAGAGTGGAAGTGATAGGGATTTTTACCTTCACAATACTCTGAATGTTTAAGGAGAGATCTACCCACTTCTGTCAATAAAAAATATTAATAATATTAACTAAAATATATCAAGGTTTTAATATGCATCATCATTTACTCACATGAACTAACAATACTTAAGTCCTTCTCACAAACTAAAGTTTGTCCTAGAAAGAGAAAAAAGATATTGCTGGTGATGGAACTGGAGGTAGTGGGTTAGAAGATGGGAAACTGAGGTCTAGAAATCAAAAAGACTAGAAGTAGGAACACAAGGAGGAGATCATATTAATTTAGAAGATCCAAACAACAGGATCGTGTTGGAGAATCCTAGATACGAGGTGAAATGGTCATGAGTCAAAGTGCCTGAACTTCAGATTGGGCTCAGTAACGCTAAATTGTTTGAAAAAATAAATTATTCAAAATGAGGTGATTTTATGATTTTCTTTGTGGGTTGTGAAAAGATCACAACACTTAATCAGTGAATGACAGCATCTGTCAGAGAGATATTGTGAAGAGGATTCTGCTCCAGGTGAGGATTGATCTAAGAGAACTCCCTCTGAAACGTAAGAGTCTCTGACTGAAATTTGTTAGGTGTTGGCACTGCTGGGGCTAGAGCATTCTTGGGAAGGCATTCCTAGCAGCCATCAGGAATATCATGCTCACATTCAGATTTGCTGCCTGTAGTCAGGCGCCCCTGGAGCGCAGAGGTCATACTCTGGAGCATGTGAAAAATTTAGATTCTTTATCAGAGATTCCATGTCATTAGAATGTCAGCCTGAGGGGTTCAGAAACTGAACTATAGCCTTGGCCATGCTTTCTTCCAAGTCCATGTTATTTACAGAGAAAAGAGTCCCAGTTAGGAAGAGAGGAGAAATGCAGTGAGAAAGAAGAGCTGAAAGGGGCAGAAAACAAGGAAGATTTGAGTTTTACAACTGGAAAGAATGACATGACCGTAAGGAAGGAAGCACTTCTCTCATGGAAAGAACTGGAATCAAGAGCTAATTAAGGAAATTCTCTACCCATGGTAAAGACAGGTGAGCCCTAAGACAGTAGAGCTGCATCTATATGGAAAAGTCCAAAGGTGACAAACTGCACTGACTGGCAGCTTGAACTTGATATCTTTCTTCAGAATGTTTCAGCTGCTGTTAGGCAGCCATTGTTTGCTGGGGCTGAAGACAAGAGAGAGATTCTCTGATTTCAGTCCATTTTATGCTCTTAATGGGAACTAAATCCATTTCCTTCGGATGGGTGCCCTTAGATTGTATGAAGGTAAGAAACAGCTCTCAACATGAATAAATTCCTCCCAGCAAGAACAAAATAGAAGAACACGTGAAAGTTAATTTGGCTTTATCTTTCGAAATGGCAGGTTTCTGGCAAGGAAAACAGGGAAGCTTTTTCTTCATTAGGAATGAAAATTGTTTTTCTACCACTGTGAAACTAAGGTCTGGTGAATAGAAAAATGTTCTAAAGGACATGAATGAGATAAGCCTTTTGTTGGGAGTGAAGCATCGGTCATAGATGTCAACAAAAAGGAGATGGGACACATTTTTTCTGACAGGATCACATACTCAAAAGTGGCAACCTGTGTTTTTTTCCAGAAGGGCAGTATACATGCAGACACCAGGAGGGAAGGAACAACTTGAAATTCAGGAGACTTCTGGGGAAACCTCACAGGATTATTGCCTCTTTAAAAAACAACTTTCTCTAAGGGGATCACAGAACAAAACAAGGAATCTAATTATGACAACTTTTTCAGGAGAACTTACATGTGTAGAAGGCAGGATCCCCAATATAGGGAACATTAACCCGGGCAGCAAAGCAGTTACTGACAGAGGCAAAGCCTCGGTCACCCACAGGATGGCAACAACAATGAGTACGTAGGCACATTCCGCTTCCTAGAAAGAGAAAAGCCAAAGCACAAGGTCAAGTAATGAGGCTGGGGAAGATTATGGACCAAATCACAATCACATTTCTGACTGTGGTCATGTCATCGTGAGCAAGACAGAAGCTCTGAGGCACTCTGTTTTGAGTCGCCAGCAAGTAGTCGCTTTCAGAGATTCCAGGAGATACAGTTCAATGAGCATGAAAACCAAAAATCTTCATTTATTGTATTTCTTCCCATTGCTTTCTAAACAGGTTAGTGTTGTCAATTTTCTTTGCTCATATTAGTGCATGTGAATATTTGTCCTTAGCTACATTAACTCCCTATGTGCACTGGTGGTGGTGGGCTTAAACAAGCCTGTGCGTAGCCTTTCACCTTGGAGCCGAGGCACTACTGTCTAATTTCTTGACGGCTGCTTGGGTGGGATTCATGCACACCTGCCCTCCTGGCTTTCTAACTAAAAGTGGGAAATCTGGCTGGCAGAAAACCTTTGCCCTAATTTATCTCCCTGGAAGGGCATTGATAAATTAAGCACTGTGGAAGAGCCTGAGACAGCTTCTAAGTGACATGCTCCTGAAGGTTATGGATTCTTGTGCCTTGCCTTTCGAGAAAGACTGCTGAGTTCCTGGGGGAGCATGGCAGGACTCATCAAGAGTGTGATTCTTACCTGTTACTCTATAACCTGTTACAGTACAGAACTGTAGGCTCATGTTTTATGTCCCTGATAAAAAATAATTAAGACATTATATGTGACTTACATAATTTGATATCAATTGAAATGTACTGTGATCAATAAATTTAGTCCCTATTACATAACTCAGAACCTTGTGCCTTCCAGGCTCCATACCACTAGCTATATTCCCAGCCTTCTCTCCAAATTCTGAGCTGTATTTGAAAATTTACAAAACCTGTCTTTTGGGGGTTAAGGAGGTTGTTTTTTAAGGCTCTGTGATTTCCATCTCAGCTGTCTGCTTCACCTACTTGAGAGTGAGTCCTTTGCGCTTGGTTTTTGCTCTCCAACATCCCTACATCTCTGGTAGATTTCTAAGGATCTTTAATAAATCAAGATTATGTCATAAATTTACTGTGCTACATTTTTAAAGGAAAAAAAATAAAGGTGTTTTGATGTTGACAGCTTCTTACAGAGTCTGCCTCTATAGTCTTGACAAACAATAAAAACAAGAAACAAAGCTGAGCCTTGACTGTGTCTTCTTAAACTGCTCTAGAGAGAATTTGTGAATAGTACTTTAATTTAAAATGCCAGTGTAGAAGAAAGGCTGTGTATTTCCTGGCAATGAGGACTCATGGATAACCCATAATTTCTTTCTTACCTTCATGTTTTCTCTCATACTTTCAAGAGCCTGGGTATCCAAGACCAAACTAAACTTTTTTTTTTTTTTTTGCAATCTTGCTCCCTAATTAATTACAACCAGCCAGTCTGCTGGTCTTGCTTCTTCACCTGTCACTGTACCTGTTAATCTTTCCTGTGCCCATTCAACTCCTGTACTGCAGGCAAGGGTGTTCTAAAACCAGACCACTTCTCAAGAATCCATTTTGACTTTGTGACTCCCTTGAATAAACCAGATCAAAGGGTTGATTACCCAGAGAATTACACGGAGCACCAATCTATAACTGTCTACTAAAACAGGAAATGCATGGCACTGGCTAAGTCTGATCATTACATACAATACTATGATCTTAAGAGTTGAAATTTCATATTAGCATAAGTCTTCTTTAGCTGGATAGCTACTTTATCTTTAATCTGTTAAGATGGAACAGTTTTGGTGGCAATAACAAGAAAAATTTTAAATATTCAATTATTAGCTTGTCTAAACTTGTCTAACTTACTATTAACTCAAAAATGCCTATTAACTAGTCTAGCCTTAGCTGGAAACAGTCTAGAGTCAATGGCTACCAGTTGTAAAAACAACCTTGCTTTATTTAAGTCTAATTCATAGCATTTATCCAGGAATAAACAAATAAGCATCCCTTAAGTGCTAATTTCTGTCTTCTTGAGGCCATATTGTGAACTCCTTAACCCACTACTTGGATGAAAGAATTTGCAACTTTACAAAGGAAATTCAGTTTGCTTTGATTCACACTGTCTTCTCTCTCTCTCTCTCTCTCTCTCTCTCTCTCTCTCTCTCTCTCTGTAATTTGAGTCAGAATTTACAAACAAGTAGATATCACATTTAACATGAAGTAAATTTCTGGCTTTTCCTTAAAACAAACTGAGGAATTCTGTAATCTTGATATTATATTGTTCCATGGTAACAATTTTCCAAACTCAAAGAGAACTTACATATACACGCGAGTTACACAAAGCACCACCACACCACTGCACTCACTCCCTTACCTGGTTGTCCACATTAGGATGAAACCTTTGATAGAAAAATATTTCCTGCCTATTCAAACCTTGCTTCCCATCCCAGGATCAACACTGAGTGCTCACTGGATTTCCCTGCCTACCTTCATGTGGTCCCTGATCTAGCAATATCAGCGTTGTCTGAAAGTCTCTGAGAAATGCAGAGTGTCAGGTCCTCTCCTAAATGCAGTGAGTTGAGATTAGCCCTTTGCAGCTTTCCAAGTGATTCTCATCTAGGTCAAGGTTGGAGAAGCCTGGGCACACACGCTTACTTAGACCTTCTCTCCAATCTTTAATTTTGGGTCCAAAATACTGCTTCCAAGTAATGACCTTCTGTTCAAGCCAATTCCCTGAATTTATAACCTATTTGAAAATCTTGTCTGAATTTCAGTGTTCAGATTAAATTCATGTCGTGTCCATGGAGCTGTCCAAAATACATATATTTCATATTTTGTGTATGAGTTCAGAGCATTATCATTGTAGCTGGCTCAAGCACAATATCTGCACCATCTTGGTAACAATCACTTTTCTGTCACTGGAACAAAATACTTCATGCCCATAATTTTTAAACATGCTTATTTTGGTTCACAGTTTCAGAGGACTCAGTCCATGACTAATGTCTCCAAAGCAGACGTGGGATGTGGAAGGAAATGACACAGAAAGCTGCTTGTCCCAGTGGGAGCCAGAAGGCAGAGAGACGATGGACCTGAACATGAGAATGTGCCTTTCTGGGTCATGCTCCTTCTGCTCCCCCTCCTTCAGACAGGCATTACCTCCTGATGTGGCACCAAACTGTCCTCTATGTCTATGATCTCACTTTTCTGAAATGCCGCAGATAAATGGGATCATGTGATGTTTGTCTCCTTGTTGACTGGCTTATTTCACTTAATATAATACCCTTTGGATTTATCCACTCTGTTGTAAATGTAGGAATTTTATAGATAAATAGTACTCTGTGCACTTTTTATATGCTATTTTCTTATTTTTGTATATATACTAAGTAAGGAGACTGTAGGATCTTCTGGTGATTCTATTTTTAATTTTTAAAAAATTCTATAGTGTTTTCTATGATGGCCCTACTAATTTACATTCCCAGCAAAAGTGTTCATGGTACAGCGGGGCAGATAGCTCAGTGGCTTAAGCACCTGCCTGGCAAGTGCGAGGTCCCAAGTTCAATCCCCGGTAATGAGAAGAAAAAAAAAAATTGTTCATGGATTCCTTTTTCTTCACACCCTCATGTTCTATGTGGGATAAAGGTTTTATTTTATTATTTTGCCTGTAGACATCTAGTTTTCCTAACACCACTTATTAAAAATACCGAACTTATTTCATGTGTGTTGTTGGAAATTTTGTTAAGAATCCAATTGTTGGAAATGCATGAATTTATCTTGAGATTTGTTTCACTGCATTGGCCTTTGGGTCTGTTTTTCTACCAGGAGCATGCTATTTTAATTACTAATATTTTGGAGCATATTTTGAATCAAGGAGCATATATTTGAATTTTCAATTTTATTCTTTTTTCTCAACAGTGCTCTTAGCAATTTTGGTTTTGGGGTGTACGTGAAGCTTTTAATTGTCACTGTTCCTTAATGGGCAGGGCAGTCACCTTCTCCCATCTGTCAGTGCAGTGCTGGTGTACACCTATCGGGCAGGTATTCTTCTAATTAGCAGTGCCTTTTCATCTTTAGCTGATAATTATACATGCACTCTACCAATGGACCCAACACAGGAATACTCCTGCTTTTGATTCTGCTCTCTTTTTGTGGGATCTTTTTAGTGGTTGTGAGCAGAAAAATTTTTTCTCTTCAACACTATGCAAGTGTCCAATAACAGAAATTTAAGCCAAGCATAATGCAAAGTATTTTATGTTAAGAATATCAAATTAAAATACATGGAGCAGTTGACCACTTTGAAGTCAAATAGTTATGAACACTTTTCTTAAAGAAGAAAGGAGAAAAGGTAGAGGAAAACAATCACTTGTTATTCACATTCATTCCAAAATCTAATATGAAGGAGAATAATTTTTGGTGAGCAGTTTCTTCTGGTGCAGAAGAAAATTCAGAAGTTATTCAACTTTGCAACCACTCAGAAAGATGCTGGGCATTTGATTTCTAGAACCAAGTTTTTGGTAGAAACTTTTGCAGTTGGGAAAGAAAATCACAGGTGGAGGGATGAGACATAGCAACGGAAATGAAACCAATTAAGACTTTTATATACCTGTAACATCTCACCATGATGAATGTAACCCGTATGTACAGAAAACAATTACCAGTAAATATAATACAATGTAATATAATATAATAGTCAAGATTGAAATATGTGTTAAGTGTTTAAATTAACAAAAATGTTGCAGCAAAAGACATATTACCATTAATTCCCATAATAACACATCCTTTCACTTCAAAAATCCTTATTCCATAATCCTTTCTATTTCCTGAAGTTGTTCTCAAAGTCATCTTTGATGTCTTTAGTTGCATTTTTGTGGCTGTCTTGATGGTTTAAATCAATTCCAAATGTTTACCTTTCACAGTCACTTTGAATTTGGACAGAGCCAGAAGTTTCTCTCTGCCAGATCTGTTGGCTAATTTGGTTGCAAACACACCGTAACGTTTATACAGGCCTATCTTTCTGTTGGAGGACACTTGGCA